GGCATGAATGCTGTAATTACGGCAGTTTTTTTGATGTTTTCTCGGTGCCCCTTTTTTTTGTGTGGAGATGAGAGGAGAAAGTGACACGCTCCCTCACATGCTCTCCTCAGGGAACACTTATCAAAACAATACGCCAGCCATCATTCACACACAGCCCTGCATACTTTGCCACTTTGAAGTCTCCTCCGTCCTCTTGTTTTTTTAATCCCCCATTCTCCTTTTTTCTCTCAATGTAATCCTACTGTAACTGCAGGGATTCTTCACCGCCATTTGTCCTTACAAATACAACAATTAATCAACAAATAACAATACGTCGGGAGCCACTGTTTAAAATCCTAAAATGGGTTCAAGTGCTGGCACTGCCATGCTTCCCTGCGTCTGTGTTGCCAATCCCTGTAAAAAGTTAATGTAAGCGGGATTCACAGGGAGCTGCTGGTGATGAAATTATGGTGTAACTGATACCAACGTGCCATGGTAGAGGAGTGCATGGCCGCCTTTCGTCTTTGAAGGAGGCTCTTCCCATCCCACGATGCACTGTTGGAGAGGGCTCCTGTATGTGCTTGTACAGTACAAACGGACAGATGGAGGGCAATACTGCACGAAAAGCAAGCAATCGTTTTGCCGCAATACAGAAAAACGGCTGCGAGTTCAGGAATTCATTGTGGATTGCACACAACACTGTAATATATGTGGACGCTACTGTAAATATGTATTTACAGTTTGGGGGGTTCATTTCATCAGGATATGTCATTTTATGCCAAGGTCACTGAGATTTTACATTTGTGAGATCCAGTGATTTCTTTTATTTCTACAAATCAGCATTTTATAATCAGGTTGTTGGCCTTTTGAGTCAATGAAATAGCAATTACATTAAACATAATAACAAATATGTTAATCATTTGAATTTTTTTGCATGCACTAAATACAGTTGGACATTGGTTTTCCTAGCTTTAGGAAAGATATTTATTCAATTGTATTTATATTTATTGTATTTTATGTATTTATTATATTTATTTATTATATTTTATTTAGATGTATTATTTCTTGGTCTTGTGAATGCCTGTATATTATTACAGTTATTTATTTATTTTTGTTTCTTGAAAATCGAAGGAATAAAGAGTGTTTTTCTATATCCTAGTGTAATAACTACAACATTTGAATATTAAAAACAAAATGCGTTCACGACTGATTCGAATAGGTGATTTGTTAGAGGTTAGAAACAGATGAAATATTAAATTGTTGCACGGTTATTGCACACATCACCCCAACTTTCTCCTGATCCCTGCGACCTCGCTTAATTACGATTTAATGCGGTGCATGATGCATAATAAAAAATGCACCGTCTGCAAAAATAGCAAGAGGAAGAGTGTAAACAATGGGGGTGTAAGAGCTTCCGAGGGGGAGGCCATATTAAACCCACGGCTACAGGGGTGCCAAAAAACATGTTTTGATTTGGAGAGGGGTGAGCCAGTGTTGCCTATTACTATAGCAACAAGAAGACCTGGCTGCTTCAATCAGCTCTGGTATGTCGGAGGCAGAGGATAGGCAGAGCAGCTCCAGCCGGGCAGACATGCAGAGTCCTCCTGGTTTTACTAATGAGGCCTCCACACATCCCATAGTGCGCCTGTCACCGGCCGACACGCTGCCTGTCTGCAGAGGTCAGCGAGCAGCGGCTAAAACAGAGCGACAGCAAAACTTGGACTAACATCCGGCATCACATTACAGAGGGATTTTCAGAAGAACACACACATTTTATTTTGTTTAAATCGCTGTCACCAGAGTGTTGTGTTTCCACTGTCTGTAAACTCCTCTTCCTCTGTCAATAACTTCTACGTCTTTTGCATTAACTTACATGTCTTTACTTGTTTTATTCTTGCAATCATTGCAGCTCTAACATATCTTTTTCTATGGTTTATTAGAAATGTGTATTTTGTATTTCTTTATTTAAGAAGGGACAATGCACATTAATGAACTTGAGTGCCTAGTCCATCATGTAAATGTGCCAGATCTAGCCATAGAGGCTCATTTGGATTTTGAAAGTGCAGTTTGATGGCGTTAAAATAAAACATACAAGAGCACATAAGCACAGGTAAATGCACATGAACAGGATAAAACACAAAAGCACATACATAAGCAAAGATACAAGCAGAATGGATGAAAAACAATGATATAAACCTCACTCCAGTTTGTGACAGCGAGTTGGATTGTCCAGTAACCACTGTTTTACACATTTGGAAAAAGATTTGAGAGGTAATTTTCCTTAGTTCTGTGGGTACAGTGTTCCGGGTATGTGCTGCCCGAGAAGAAGAGGCTAAAGAAGGTCAAATCAGAATCAGAAATCCTTCACTCGTCCTACATGGACATTGTAACCGCAACGGGGCACAGTATAGATCGAAAACCGTAATAAAACAGTATTAAATAAAGAGGCAAGCACATGTCATAAAATAAATCATACGAGAACACGTTACACACATTAAACATTAATAAAGATCATGTTTTGTGAAGCCTGTTGAATGATAATGAAGTAACGGAGACGAGGATTTCATCACCATAGAAGAGTAGAGAGCCGGGTGATGGTGTACCAAAAGCATGTTTTATATGACACACATACAATTTGAACTATTGGCAGACCACTTGAAGCAATTTGATTGATATGTATATATATTTTTAAACACGGACAGTGCACATTAATCAACATTGCAGTTTCCATCTTCAAAATAAATATGCCAGAGGTAACTTAAGAGCTGTTTTGATAAATATATATATTTCTTCTTATTTTTTCAATTTTTGAATTATGATAATACACTTTAGTGTAGTTGTTATTAAATATAATTATATGTATTAAGAGTTTATAAGAAAACAGTATTTGTTGTTGTACTTAATTGTTATTATTACAAGTGTTTTTTTTTCATCTATTTTCATATATTACCTATTACTTAGGCACCTCCACTTATGGTTGTCCATAGCAGCAAACAAGAAAAAAAGAAAAAATATTATTACTATATTTCACATCTATATCTTACTGACTGTGCCTACCAGTTTGTAATACAATTAGAATAAACAGTGGTGAGGTGAACACAGTGTACTGTAGTGCAGTGTTGACATCTTCACACATTCCACTTTTATTTTTAATTAAAGATGGTATTTTTCTTGAAGGCTGTGTGTTTCAACATGTGTGTGTGTGTGTGTGTGTGTGTGTGTGTGTGTGTGTGTGTGTGTGTCTGTGTGTGTGTGTGTGTGTGTGACCCCAGTGATTTGTTACGTGTAAAGAACGATGTGTTAATGCATTTTTACTCAGATACACCTTTCAGTATACATGCACAGTGGGAAGGGATATACAGGGTTTTGTACTGCACTAATATTGTCAAATGAGGAGCTGTATTACTCCTATATATACTCTAAATATAAACTGATCAGTCTTTCTCTTTAAATATCAACGAGCTGGCTGACTCTTATGAGTGGCAGAGTGACCTGTGAGCATCTATCTTGTTTTGGATTCAGATCATAGAAGTTACTTTTTGAATCTAACCTCACTGCTCTTTTGAGTCCTTGCAGATTCAAATAAAGCATTTGAATCGGTGTCTGTAAGGACTACTTTATGTGTGGAGGTTGCTTGAGTTTCTTCTACGAGCTTCTTCTACTGTACATCTACCAAAAAGGAATATAAGTTAGATACAACTAGGTTAAAAAAAAATGAGGATGGGTGAACACTGTGGGGGATTAACAATAAAGTATATCCTTAACTTTAATTGAACTTAATGTCCTTCAATACGTATATCAGGAAGAAATATATTGTGTTAGTCATTACACTTAATAAAACCATTTAAAAAAACAGTCCAACCATCAACACAGTGACATAATATCTATTTTTCTTGCAATTTCACACAATGTTTTTTTTTAATTTCCCACAAGATACAACAAAGTAAAGTGTTTAATATGATAAAACATTTAAATAGAAGCCGTAGAAATAGCCGGTAACTTAATTACTAAAATAAAAAGTTTAATAAAGTGACTTTACTTGGGATTGTACTCAGTGTTTATGTTAGCAGGCTAAATGTTTTAATTCAATTGAGAATCTTTTAAAGTTAATCCAGCAATACAGCAATGTAGCATACACTGAGGTTAAAGTGGGAACCATTCAGAAAAGCAACATATCTGGAGTTGTTATAGATTTTAAGTAGCTGTCTGTCAGGTTATGATCCTAGTTGTAGGTTATGCTTTATTAACTGGTGATAATTTACAACAAAGCAGTCCCAGGCTGGTGTTAATGTGTAATGATTAGCAATCAGTGGAAGACCGATGGCAGGCCAATAGAAATAAAAAAGTTCCCCTACATAAACCAATGGTGAGGCCACATTGTTACAGCGCTCAGCGAATCCCCTGCGGATCTGATGCAACAGGGCTGCAACTAAAGTTACACCTTCGAACTGCAACATGATGTCCTTCCGCTGTGGCGCTATGAAAACTAGTACCGGTTTCACCGTCTGCTTAATTCTCCCTGAATGCTCTCCACACTGTCTCTGGTCAACTCTTTAAGGATGTTTTGGGTTTTAATCATATATTCTACGTGTTTTTATTATGTTTTTTTTTGTTGCGTGACAGGACTTTTAGGCAAGATAGAGTTCATGCCCATGTTTTTCGGTCAAAAACATTTTACCGGCAGGCAGCCTGCTATGTTTTAGTTACGATATAATTTTTTTTTGCAATGCTTTCAGCATCTAGATACATCCTTAATAATGTTAAAGTGAAATTGTAGTCAGTATGTCATTTTAAATGCATCTTATTTGTACTTTATGTCAATAATACCATGAAAAGGCAACTTGAATAACATACAACTAGTCAAATGAAAGGAGAAAATTCAGATGAGATACAATAACAGTGTGTTTATACAGTGAGGGAATGAGGAGATGTTATTTGAGCTTGTCTCTGGGTAATGGGAAAGTCCCCAGGTTCATGACGTAACGGCCAGCTGAACTCTGTAAACTGCGGATGAATCTCGTCTGCTGTGATCCGGTCCGGAGCAATAGGAGTTTGCAGAAGTAGCGGATTTAAAAACTTTCTGTCTGCATTTCTGTTCGTCGAAATAGCACTTGATGAAGACTCCCTGACTATGAAAAGGGATAATATGGCTTTTTAAACCTCGACCGTCTTCCTCCTCACCATAAAGCTCCGCGTGCTTTGCTCTCGCGACGCACTCCAAGACTATTCTGAAACTATGGGGTGAGTAAGAAGTGCTTTCTGGCTTTGGGGGAAAGTTAGGTGAATAAGGTCTTACTAAAGCTAACAAACCACTTTAGACACTCTTTAAAATAACATTTAATTTAATCCTGAATTTCTTTTTCTATTAACATCTTTTACAGGACTTTATTAGCCTTTATTAGTATTTTAAAAATAACTATGTTAAAGTAATTGTGACGTTTTAAAATGTGAATTTATTTATTTTTTGTTCCTTAATACTTTTTTTAAGTTGACAACTACTACTTACATTCTGAAAAATAACTTTCTATCTATGTATGTTTTAGTCTATAATTAGGTTATGAAGGTAGTGCTTAAGACTATATCATGTTTACAAAAATTGCAATGTTTTTTTATTATCTTTTCATGTTTATTGTTGGTTCAAAGTATTTCAACTTTCAACTGTATTTAGTTTTTGGGGAAATTGTTATGTTTTGACATTAATCAGTAATGGCTTCACAGCATGAGGTTACAGGTGCTCACAAATGTTAAGGGTTAAATTGAACAGAATACACTTTTATAATTATTTTTATTTTGTTGTTTTAGCTTTCAAATATTTATATACATTTTTATTTTTTAGTTTTTGGGGAAATATTTAACGCTTTATTGGATGGAATTTGAAATGCAAAATTAATATATATATATTTTTTTTTTTGACATTTGTTTATTTCCCTAATTTCTTTCCCACAGGTCTTCAGGTGTTTCCACAATTATTTCATCCACCCATTGCATGGTTTTCGCTTTTGAACAATTTAATCGAGGCAGAAGACACAATGGCGGCATCGATCCTTCGCAGGAATATTCCTCCCATTTCCACAAGCGAGCTTGGCGCTCCCCCTCTCCGACAGGCTAGCCATAGCCAATCACGTCCAAGGAAGGGGGCGGAGCCAGCGGAGAGGCAGAACTTAATTGGTGAGTTTTGCCAAGACGCTTTTTTATTTTTCCACATCCCGAGGTCGGAGCCGCAGTGCAGCACGGGGCTAATGTCGTACAGTGAGTACAGCTAAATGGATATTTATCGAACGCAGACGATGCTGTTCAATCATTTTCAGATGATCGGTTAGTTGTTCACTTGGATTTCTCGGATGTATTCTTTCACTTTGGGCTTATTTTTAATTTGATTTATCCTCTTTACGTGATTTAAGATTTTTTTCCTAAATTTGTAGTTTTTATTTCAGCTATTTTACACAATCAGCTGAAATAAAATAAATTGATTGCTTTACTGATTCTATGATTCTTTTTTGATTTTTTTCATAGGTGATGGCCACTCAGATTGGATGACGGAAAAAGTTGATTTGTCTTCATTTGTGTCGACGACCGAGTCTTCTCCCAGCTCATCCCTTCCACCCTCGCCGTTAGAACAAGATGTCAAGGTGCCCTCGGATCTGGAGGTCATGACCTCTCTACTGCAGGAGGAGCTGGCTCAGCTGGAGGACTACTTCCGCTCCGAGACCACAACCACAACAAACAAGTTGGAGAAATCCTCAAAATGTGACAAGGGTGCTCAAGCCATGGGCTCCCAGTCTTATTATCAGTTACCCTACAGCTCGTATGGGACCAGCCAATCAGAAACCAGCCCTGTGGTTGTTACCTTGGCAACAGGGGAACTGGACCTGGGCAGCTTCTGTGGCGGTCCAATCGCCAGAACCAAAATTGCACGACCTGCTCCGTACAACTACCACCACCGCTACCACCACAATAACGGGCGGCGGATCATCAGCGAGGCAGTGAAGGTCGGGGAGGAAGTAGGACTCGATACGTGGGGCTCAAGGGGAAGTTACTCAGGAAGCGCGGAGTTGTCTGTGAACCACTACTCCACGCTGAAGACAGTGAGCAAGAACAGCTTCAGCAGCGTCAAGAAGGTGAGAGAATGTGCTTTATCGTTGAAGGAAGAGGAAAGTTATTGTTTTTCCGAGGGAATGTTTTGCAGCGAGGAGATCGCTCGAGGGTTTTGTCTGGGCGGCTCGTACGACAGCCACCACAAGCGCGAAGGACAGTTGATGCACAATGTGAAGGTCAATGTAAGTTACGACAGCACGGGGCTGGAGGTCTTGCACTGCGGTAAAGATGGAGGACTTTCCGGGGGGATTCCCCAAGAGACAATGGTGGCCGGAGACGGATACTTCCACCAGTCCATGGCCAGCACGGAGCCTTACCATAGCTTTATAGGGGACCTCGACCAGCCGTCACAGCCTCAGGCTGTGGAGCCCCAACATGGCCACTACCTCTATCCAGAATGCCTTGCAGACCAAAGCTACGAATGTCTGTCCAGAGGGGAGGGCGAGGGGACGCTGATGGGTGCCCCCATCCACCGCCCCACCCAGAGGCTAAAGGATGAGCACTGCTCCATGAAGCCGGCTCTGGTGATGGGCAGCGTTCCTGTGGAAGGCGTCCCCGGAGAGAGGAAGCAGAAGAAGAGAGACCAGAACAAAACTGCTGCTCACAGGTAAGCTTTTCTTTTCTTCTCCTCCTCGTTTTGAAAGCATGCCTCAAAAACATATACAAATTAGACTTGTGGTCAGAAGTGAAAGTTTGTCAATAGAAACTGAACATGGCAGGAGTGTTACATAAAGCTTTAAATGTCCTGCAGTGTGTAGGAGGGGAATGGAAAGTCCCTCACTGCCTGCCAAATTCAGCCCCACCTAACCATTTATTTAAGTCTGCTCTGTCTGTGTATGAGATGCGAAAAGCTAAATATGCAGGAAAAGTCTTAAAAATGATAGTAAAAAGTTGGAAGAAAAAGAAACTGATCAGAGTTTTCTCAGGGGAGAGATGTCTGTGTGATGTAGCTCAGGGGTCACGCTCACAAGGATCATTAACAAAGATGCAAGGCAGCAGAAATGTGGAACTAAGCGGTCCCTTGTGTTGCAGGTACAGGCTGCGTAAGAGGGCGGAGCTGGACTGTCTGGAGGAGGAGCTGCACGGCCTCGAGGGGCAGAACCGGGAGCTTCGTGACAAGGCGGAGTCGGTGGAGAGAGAAATCCAGTACGTCAAAGATTTACTCATCGAGGTCTACAAGGCTCGCAGTCAGCGGCTCAAAACAGACGGCAGTGCCTGAAAAAAATGAATAAAAGAAATGCCCACACTGACCTCCGCTTCCAGAACTCCCCAAAAACCAGCACCAAGAGAAAAATCAAGTCAAGACTGGCTTTTTCGTCTCACAGGAATGAAATGGTAGTTGCATGATTTTGATAGATCTTTTCTAAACAACAACATAAAAAATATGTTTGAAGAGGATGACCCAAAAAAAAAAGGAGAAAGAAATGGGGAAGTTTCCAAACGAGTGACTATTTCTAAGAAGCCTTAGTGAGGTGGAGGAGATGCTGGACTTGTCCGTGACCACTGTGATCCGAACTGCACTCACAGCCTTGCGATGACTGACTCTGTGCTTGCGATGATTTTACAAACTGAATTAGTTAGTAGTGACGGAATATGCTTGTGTTTTTTTTGTGACACACACATCGAGGCAGATCCACGCTAAATATATATTTTATTTTATATTTTTACTTAATAATGTTCATTTATCATTTGCTTTCAACAATCAAATGACTGAAATAAAAGGGATTGCTGGAAATAAAAAAGAGTGTGCTCTACAAATCGGAAACATTTATAGAATTTGCATTGCTAAAATGTTGAGTATTTACAGTCGTTTTACCCATCCCGCCACCTCCACACCCAACACCCTCCGCCCCCACTGAAATACCCAATGCATGTTGGATTTTGGAAAAAAAAGCATGTGCGAGTGTTATTTGAAGGCAATATTCTGTTAACTGCATGGCTTCAAGATCTCCAATTTCAACTGATTTCTCATCAGCTGGCGACTTTCCCCTGAGCCCCGCGCCCGCAGCCCCCAG